TCACCTACATCTTGGATGCCCTGGGGGTAAGCAGATAAACATAATTTTTTCATTTTTGGGTGAACTATCCCTTTAAGGTGCTATGTGGCTGCTAAGTGGTGCTAGGTTGCTCTGGGTGGTTGTTAGGGTGTTGATATGTGGCTACTATGTGGTGCTAGGATGTTCTGGATGGTTGTTAGGTGGTGCTAGGTCGCTCTGGGTAGTTGTTAAGGTGTTCCTATGTGGCTGCTAGGTGGGGCTAGGGTGTTCTGGGTGGTTGTTAAGGTGTTGATGTGTGGCTACTATGTGGTGCTAGGATGATCTGGATGGTTGTTAGGTGGTGCTAGGTCACTCTGGATGGTTGTTAAAGTGCTATGTGGCTGCCAGGTGGTGCCGCGGTGTTCTGGATGGTTGTAAGGTGGTGCTAGATTGCTCTGAGTGGTTGTTAAGGTGCTATGTAGCTGCTAGGTGGTGCCACGGTGTTCTGGATGATTGTTAGGTGCTGCTAGGTTGCATTGGGTGATTGTTCGGTGATGGCAGGGCATTCTGGGTGGTTGCTAGATGGTGCCAGGAAGTTATGGATGGTTGCTAGATGTTGTCATGTGGTTGCTTAGATGTTCTGTTTGGATGTTACTATAGGTGATGGCACGCCAAACTGGGTGCTTTCTAAGGTGTTGTTATGATGGTTGTTAGGTGGTGCGAGGGTGCTCTTCGTGGTTGTTAGGTTAATGCTCTGTGTTTACCGCAAAGTTTCTACCGTTTTGTTCTGGATTGTTGCTAGGCGGTGTTATGGTGCTCTTGGTGGTTGTTGGGTTAATGCTCTGCATTGCTAGGGTACTCTGGCTGATTCTAAGGGTGTTGCTATGTGGTTGCTTCAATGTTGCTAGAGTGTTGTGAATGGTTCCTAGGTGATGCCAAGGTGCTCTAGATGGTTGTTGGTGTGTTTCTTTGTAATTGCTAAAATGTTGCACCGGTGATCTGAATAGTTGCTAAGGTACTCTCAGGAGTTTTAGGGTGTTTCTATGTGGTTGCTTTGATGTTTCCAGGATACATCATGTATTGTGGATGGTTCCAATGTGGCGCTAAGGAGCTCTGGGCGGTTGTTGGAGTGTTTCTATGTGATTGCTACAGTGTTGCTAGGCTGATCTGAATGGTTGCTAAGGTACTCTGGGTGGTTGTAAGGGTGTTGCTATGTGGTTGCTTTGATGTTGCTAGGATGTTCTGAATGGTTCCGAGGTGGTGCTAAGGAGCTCTGGGAGGTCGTTGGGGTGTTTCTATGTGATTGCTACAATGTTGCCAGGGTGATCTGGACAGTTGCTAGGGTGTTTATAGGGTGTTCTGGATGGTTGCTAGGGAAATCTAGGTGGTAGTTAGGGTGTTGCTATATGGTTGCTTTGATGTTGCTAAGATGTTTTGAATGGTTGTGGTACTAAGGATCTCTGGGTGGTCGTTGGGGTGTTTCTATGTGATTGCTACAATGTTGCCAGGGTGAGCTAGATAGTTGCTAGGGTATTTATAGGGTGTTCTGGATGGTTGCTAGGAAACTCGGTGTGGTTGTTAGGGTGTTGCTATATGGTTGCTCTGATGTTGCTAGGATGTTTTAAATGGTTCTGAGGTGGTACTAAGGAGCTCTGGGCGGTTGTTAGGGTGTTTCTGTGTGATTGCTACAATTTTGCTAGGGTAATCTGGACGGTTGCTAAGTTACTCTGGGTGGTTGCTTTGATGTTGCTAGGATGTTCTGTATGTTTCCAAGGTGGTGCCATGGTGCTCTTTTTGTAATATATTCTGGATTATTGCTTGGTGGTGCTAGGTAGGATAGGTAGGATACTAGGGTGTTGCTATGTGGTTGCTGTTGTATTCTGGGTGTTTGCTTACTGGTTATTATTATTATTATTATTTTTATTTTTTTAGGTGTCATTCATGTCCACATATGCTTTTACATTGTACTTATATTTTTTTTAAAAATGCCTGAATGTAATTAATTTCTGTAACTACATTTATAATTACACTGCTGACCCATCCCTTATACCTACCCATACCACCAAACCTGTCCCTAACCTACATATTTTTGATTTAAGTACGTAGTAGTTAAAGGGTTAGTTCACCCAAAAATGAAAATTAGCCTGTGTTTTACTCACCTTCGAGGCATGCTAGGTGTATATGACTTTCTTCTTTCAGATGAATCCAATCGGAGTTATGGGTCAATATCAGGATAGAGTGAGTGCCTTTCAACCCTTACAATACTCAAAATTTTGGGTTTTAATTTCCCATTCGCTTTATGTCATATCATAAATAGTAGACACTCAAGTACTATAGAAACATATTAGCTGAGCTCCCACACATTTTTTTGGATAATTATGGGCCTTCATTCAAAGCATAAACCATTAGATATGTCCACCCTGTCATGGACATATACAGTATATTACTGTTAAATAAATGTTCATTGCAAAATTAAGATGTAAATTATATTTTCTGAAAGGTATGACGTCCCTTTCCTAAACAGGGTTGTTAAAAAATAATATAATAATAATAAATAATATAATTACATCCTCAATCACTTTGATATAC